GAGAGAGAGAGAGAGAGAGAGAGAGAGAGAGAGAGAGAGAGAGAGAGAGAGAGAGGTGGATAGAAATCGTTATGTTGCGGAACGCTTATCTGCATTTTCCATGAGAACCTCAGGACACGAAGTGGGCGAAGCTGAAGGCGCATTCTTGGTCCGGAAACTCTTTCATAAAATTCTGACAAACGTTTTAGCAAAAGGAGAAGGAAGAGGTGTGGTGGGAGGTGGAGGGAGAGATGTGAGAGAGCTTCTCGCATGTGTTGATGTTTTCTTTGAGCAGAGTTTTGGTGATGATTAAATGAATCATGTGAAGGCTGGGGATGGTGTACAAGCTCTTCGTATGGAGTGTGGGAGTTCTGGGGATGACTTGAGCGGCAACAGAAAATGCTGATGGTCTGTATGGTGGTTCAATTGATAACACATTTTTTGACGATATATACATGAATGCTTGTCGAACAACTACTGGGCTTGCATGACAACGTGCTGGTTTTGCGAATGACGGGGAATTGATTCCGTAATCAAAGATGTGCCGACACGTGCTGATACCCTGGGAGAGATGAGAGGGAGAGCTTATGGGCNCTGGTTTTGCGAATGACGGGGAATTGATTCCGTAATCAAAGATGTGCCGACACGTGCTGATACCCTGGGAGAGATGAGAGGGAGAGCTTATGGGCTTAGTTCAGCAGAAGCTGAGGTACGGAGAGGGAGTACTGACAAGTGACAGTGATTGGTATTCAGGCTGGTGACCCTTCTCTTTCCCAAGCCTTCGCATGTGCGATCTAGAGGGTAGGTTTTTCTCCGCTGCTGTCTGCAGTTGACACTTCTGAGGGTGCAGTACTGTGACGCTGTGGATGACGATCAGCTATATTAAGTCGATTTATGTATCCAGTGTTGGGTCTGTCTTTCGGCAGAGCTTCATCCAGCTTAGCGTTGTCGTGTATTTTTGCTTGTTTGCGCGATTGTCTACAGGTATCGAGTGCCAAGCGAACCAAGCCAGTGCCACAAGTGATGAATGCACAGTTGCTTGGGGTGAGTTTGGAACTTTGGACCGTGGATGACACAATGGTCACTGTTGATTTTTCAGGATTTGATGTTCTACCGTTTTCACCCGAATAGAACGCCCGGTCATTATCGCTGCATCTGGACTGAAAGTTTTGGCCAAATGCCGCTATAATGACCAGGCGTTGTATTCGGGTGAAGACGGTAGTCGATCAGTTGTCAAGCAACCTGATGGAGCGAGCCTTTCTTGGGCGTATGTAGTGTTTATTGGATCGAGGGGCCACTCACACTGGCAGCACATTTTTGCTTATTTCTGGCCGGAATTTCAGCTAGATGCATACAGTTCCGGCCGTGAAAGCGGTCACATGCATATAAGATAGTGCCAGTGCGAGTATGCCCTGAGAATCCCTCGTTGGTTTGCTGATATCATGCCTATCGCGCCTGTCCCCTAAGCCATCATCTGACTACATAGCCCCGGGCTCTTCTGCTGCCCTCTCCTCCCCCCCTTGTTCATCGTACCTCTGTGCTATGCAACTGTAAGTGTGTGCTGTTATATTGCAGATGGCTGTGTGGTAGATGGCGAGCCTAGGCCGAACAGAGATTACTCCTCAACCGCACAAATGTTGTAGACCTTGCTCCTGAAAGTCAAAAAGAATGGAACAGATGAAAGGAATGAGTGTTAAAAAAAAAAAAAAAAGAACCAAGAAAAAGAAAAAGAAGGAACACAAACAAATGAGAAAGGGAAGGAATGAGAAGCGAATGAGAATAGGAAAAGGGAGAAGTTAGCTCAGTTTGTACACCCATGGACTGTTGACATGCAGACGTGAGTTGGAATCCAGATGGAACCAGTAACCTTTCCCCTCTTCCTGTTGCCTTCTGTGTTGTGTAAGTTGTGTTTCTTTTCTGTTGTTGCACATTGCAAATGCCCGGCTCTTCGTTAATTGCTGTGTGACAATGGAAAGATAACCTCCTGGGGATGAGGATGTTCTGTTTAAATAGTTGAAGACTCTGTTTGTGTGTGTGCATGCATGTGTGTGGGTGAGTGTGCAGTGTGCACCGCCTTTTTTTTCCTGTGTATGTTGATGCGTGTGTTCTTCTGTGTGTGCGCTTGTGTGTGCGTGTTGTGTGCATGTGTGTGGGTGAGTGTGCAGTGTGCACGTCTTTTTTTTTGGTTTGTGTGTTGACGTGTGTGTTCTTCCATGTGGGAGCTTGTGTGTGCGTGTCGTGTCGTGTCATGTGTGTGCATGCATGTGTTTGTGTGGTGTGCGCTTGTGTGCATGCATGCATGTGTGTGTGCGTGTGTGGGCGAGTGTGCAGTGTGCACGTCTTTTTTTTTTCTTTGTGTGTCGACGTGTCTGTTCTTCCGTGTGTGCGCTTGTGTGTGCGCATCTGTGTGTTTGTGTGGTGACAAGGCTTGCACGATCGTGCCGTGGCCTGTTGCGTGGAGAGGTGGTGTTTATAAACAACACATGAGAAGGAGCCCGCGGCCAGGCATCCCCAAGAAACGAACGCACATAATGTCAAGCTTCGAAAGGCCATGAAGCGAAAAAGAACCACAAGGCAAAAACCAAGCCAAATGTGAGCAAGGCAAAGGTCAGGAAGGATGCATGAAGCAACAAGGGATTGTACAAGAAGCGCCAGCAACGAACATAGGATGGAGGGCATGGGGGGTAGGTGGGTGGGTGGACGAACAGGATTAGGCAGCAGAGGCGGGAAAAGGCAACAAGCCAAGGAGCAGCAAGGCAAAAACCCAACAGGGCAGACAACAAAAAAAAGAAGAGTACTAAGTGCCAAAAAACATGAAGTGAAAAAAAAAGAAAAAAAAAAAAAGAAAAAACTGATGATGCAATATTTGTTTCGTCGGAGTTGCACCGATTCGTCAGGAGGCTGGCCCTCGGCAATCTGCAGAATCTCGATATCGATGCTTCGAGTTGTGAACCCTCCGACCCTTGTTGAAAGCAGACTGCCAGCTGGCAATAGCACAAGCAGAACATAGCAGCAGGCAACGACTTCAGTGAAGCGCCAGGCAATGCTGCAGGGGAAGCTGAACTGCACAACGTCATGAAAGCGGGCTGCCAGCTGGCAATACCACAAGGAGAACATAGCAGTCGGCAATGACTCAGCGAAGCATGAGGCAACGCTGTCGGGGCAACGGAACTGCACCACGTCAAAACTAACTGCGTGGAACGATAGCGCAAGTGGACAGGCACCATGGCAACGACACAGCGAAGCACAAGGCGACACTGCCAAACTTCCAATCCGCCACACGACACACAAGCAAAGTGCGCAGGAAGGCAATGCACACAGACAGTCAGCAATGCAACAGCGCAGCGATGCACAGGGCAACATCAACAGCTCAGCCAAACTACACTGCAACACACAAGCTGTGAATAACGGCATGGGGAGCAAGAGGGGTGACAAGCACGGCAGCCGTGGAGCATAGCCAAGGGAAGTCCACACATCCGATGAACGGAGCGAAGCTGCACATCACCTATGCACACCGCAAGAAGAACCCCGCAGGCTGTCGGTTCCTACCACCGGCTGAGCCAGGAAGCCACTCCAACGGACATCTATCATCACCCATAGACTGTATGCATCACCCATAGACTGTATGCATCACCGACATCACGAACAGACAGCCCCCCCCCCCCTTAATAGCCGTGCAGCTACACTTGACACCCCACCACTGTCTGTTTAGTAGCACTTTTTAAAGGTGCTCACATGGACCCAGAAAGTGCATAGAAAAAAAGAAAGAAGGACGAACAAAAAAAAGGGAAAGACATACAGCAAACTGATTGTGTGTGTGTGTGTGTGTGCGCACGCGTGTGCAATTTACATTTTGTTGCAGGTGTATGCAATCATGCCTTCCATTTTCACTGCATCAGTCGGTGGTTGAAAACACGCCAGGTCTGCCCGTTAGGTGAGAGGCTCATTCCATCGATTATTCGAGACCTTGTTTTTTTTTTTTTGTACATAATCTACAAACTATGTTGTGTAGATTATGTTTTGTACATTATCTACAAACTATGTCGTTTCCTGCTGCTATGTTCTGCTTGTGCTATTGCCAGCTGGCAGTCTGCTTTCCCCTGCAGCGGCAGCGTTGCCTGGCGCTTTACTGAACTATAGTTTGTGTATTTCCGGGGGGGGGTTAGGAGAGGGGAGGGAACTCAGCCGTTTCAAAGCGGGATGGGTGTGGACTCTGTGGAGAAGAGGGTACTCTGTGAGTCAGAAGAATTTGAGCTTAGCAGGAAGGGGGGATCAAGGTTCTGGCAGGAAGCCTTTTTTTCTTGAAGGGCATTCACCCTGCTCTTTGGGTCGCTGACTCATCTCTTGTTCTGGCAAGATGTGGCGTGTGCAGAAGAGATGCCACCATCTGCTGTTGAGTACTGACTGAATGATGGGTTGCTTTCTTTTCTTTTTCTTTTTCTTTTTCTTTTTCTTTTTCTTTTTCTTTTTCTTTTTATTATTTGTCTTTTTATTATGTTTTTCTTTTTATTATTTTTTTTCTTTGAAAGGGGTGACCCTAGGACTATTGTATCCATCGGGATTTTCATGATGATGATCTGTTTATTAACAGTTGTATATGCACAGCACTGAGTCCTATTCAACCACGGGGAAGGTACTGAAGATGGGTCAAGTTTTTTTTTTTTTTTTTTTTGAGCTGTCTTCTCCTCTGATATGGGGGACAGCTGTATCAGATCAGATACACTATTATCTTCTCTCAACATTTTCCTTGCTTCTGTCATAATGTGAATTTTCAAGTTTGTGCATTTGACGGAGTTGTGCAACGCAGTACTTAGTGAAAATCTGGATTGCATTTCCCGGGTGCATGGGTTGAATCCACGGTTCCAGCCAGCATGCTGCTGCCCGGATGGCCTGGGCGCGGTAGGTCCGGGCAAGGTTCTGGGAAGTCGCAGTATGAAATTAAAAAAAAATATACATGTATCTGTAAAGAAAAAAAAAACAAATTATGTTGTGTAGAATCGCTCCATTGATAAGAAAGATCTCGGGAAATGCAGCAAAAAAGTCAAGTGTCAAACATGGCTATCTTGGTATCTTCTCTTTTTGGGCCGGCAGCTGGTCAATCATGAAGGCCTCCTTTTAGGGCCCAAATTTCCTATGGTGTACTAAATCACTTACAGCACTTCGAAATTCTTTATGATGGTTAAAAAAAAAAAAAAAAAAAAAAAAAAAAAAAAAAAAAACTATTTTACACCCCTTTAAGCCAAGCCCCGTTTTATTAAAACTTTAAACCCTACTGAGCCTGTTAATACCATCCAGATCCCACCCCCCTAACGTAACGACGCCAGGTTCTCAAACCTAATGGCGCATTTGGACACGTTTTTTGGACACATCATTTGGACACGTTTTTTGGACACATTTTTCGGGGCACATTTGGACACGTTTTTTGGACACATTTTTCGGACACGTTTCGGTGTGCGGAGAAATGCCTGGCTGACTATTTTTGGAAGAAGAAAATGGGTCAGACGCTTCGACTCACCCGTGTACTTCCAGGCAGGCGAGCGAGCTCGAGTTGCCTGGGATCGGCTGGCCCTTGCCGGACTGGTGAACCCACATAACTCTGCTAGCCAGCCCAGGATTGACCAGAGTTTTGTGGGAATTCACGCATCTCTCTGCTTGAGTTTTGTGGGAATTCACACATCTCTCTGCTTGGATTGCCGTCTCGCCATTGGGAACGAGGTTGTTGTATTGTTTTCTCAACGTATTTCTCTGCTCCCGATGAAATGCCGCCTCTCTGCTCCACCTGTGCCTCTGGTAATCTTTCCTCTCCTTCCTATTCTTGCCCCTTCCCCCCACCGTCCTCCCCCCCTCCTCGCTTTTTGCATCCTTGTCCAGCTCTTTCACCACCTCTCTCCTCTCCTTTGAGCCTCGTGCATTTTTGTAATAAAGATAGTAATGTACCCAACAATGAATGAAATTCTTTTGCTTGTCCCTTTCGTTGCTCCAGTGGTCGCTCTTGCCTCGGCTGCCAAGAACGAGGGTTCCTTTTTTTTTTCCACCTGGCGTTAGGGGTCTATGAACTAGGGTTCTTTCTGACTCGTCGTTGACATTTGTGTAGTCCCATTTGGATCGCGGTGTGTGGGATATCCTGCCATGAACAAGGTTCTCTCTTTTTTTGGGCCTCTGTTAGGGGTCTATGAACAAGGTTCTCTCTTTTTTTGGGCCTCTGTTAGGGGTCTATGAACAAGGCTCTCTCTTTTTTTGGGCCTCTGTTAGGGGTCTGTGACATTTGATCCAGTGTTAGGGGTCTTTGACTTCTTGCTGACGTGTTGCCGACATTTGTGTTGTCCCGTTTGGATCGCCGTGCGTGCTTTATTTTGCCAGATAATAGTGAGTGGGAATTTCAGAAGTACGGGCGCTGACCTCAACAGCTGCGCAGCAGCGCAGGCTGTCGGGCCTGCTTTCCCCGTTGTGCTTGTCCATCTGCGAATGATGTACGCAATGGGGTGTGTCATCGGTACAATAATCTGTCAGAGCACTCTGCGGGTAAGCCCCTGCAGCTAACAGCGAGTGAGTAGGAGTTTCCGAAGTGTGTATGTAGTCCTTAGGCGCGACCGTGTTCGCAGTTGATTGCAGCAGCGCAGCAGCCGCAGCAGCAGCACCTTGCCGGGCCTGCTTTTTCCCCAGATGACCGGAATGGTCAGGAGGCAGAAAAGGTTTTGGGCCTGCCGGTGGCCGCCGGGAGCGTCTCTTTGTGAAGTGGAAAAGGTTTTCGGCCTACCGGTAGCCGCCGGGAGTTTCTCTTTGCGAAGCAGGTGGTCCTCAATGGAGCTTGTTGGAGGTCCCAACAAATCTGTTTATGAAGCAGTCTGTTGGTATTCAAGAACCAGTCCCACCGACTCGCCCACCCGCCCGCCCGCCCCACCTTATGGCTCAGAAAAGGTAATCCCTGTGCCTCGGCGGAGGAAGTGCTGATTTGACTGTTGTAGGATTCTCTTGTCCAATCAACTGGTGATGCTGTATTTCTGTTGAACGTGTGCACCGTTTTTTTTTTTCCCTTTTTTTTTTTTCCTGGCTAAGGTTTTTTTTTTTTTTTTTTTTTTCCTGGCTAAGTTTTTTTTCTCCCTTTTTTTTCTTTTTTCCTGGCTAAGTTTTGTTTTTTGCAGCTCGAATCTTACACTTCTTTTTAAACAATTCTCCAAGAATCTTTTGTCTTCAGAACGTGGTGTTTTTTTTTTCCCCTATTTTTTTTGTTTCTTTTTTTGTTGTTGTGATTCTCACTGATTCACTCTTCCGTCTCCCCTGATTTCTCTTCCACCCTCCACCCCCCCCCCTCTCCCCTTCTATTTTTCGTCTCTTCTCTCTCCCATCTTCCTCCTGTTGCCCTTACCATCTCACGCGGCTGCCCTGCCTGATGCCGGATCCACATGTGGAGAACGCTTTTTTTTTGTGTGTGTGTATGTGTCTGTGTGGAGAAGGTTTTTTTTTTTTTTTTTTTTTTTTTTTTTTTTTTTGTGKGGRGAAGGTTTTTTTTTTTTTTTTTTTTTTTTTTTGTATGTCTGCCGGAGGGCTACTGTTGGAGGTGTTGAGAAGTGAAAGATTTATGAAAAAGTCAAGATTCTCTCTCTTTGTTGAGAAGTCGAAGATTTATGAAAAAGTCAAGATTCTCTCCTTGTTGAGAAGTCAAAGATTTATGAAAAAGTCAAGATTGTCACTTTGTTGAGAAGTCAAAGATTTATGTAAAAGTCAAGATTGTCTCTCTTTGTTGAGAAGAAGATTTATGAAAAAGTCAAGATTGTTTTTTTTGTGCCGGCTCTTTGTTGAGAAGTCAAGATTGTCTTGTGCTGCTGCTCTGATTTCCCTCTCTCTTTGCTAAGAAGTCAAGATTGTCTTGTGGTTAAAAAAAAAAAAAAAAAAAAAAAAAAAAAAAAAAGAGCAATGAAAAACAGAAAAGAAAGCATGAAATGGTTTTTATGAAAAACGTGAGGGAAAAAAAAAAAAAATCGTATGGCCTGCTGCCTGTTATGGAGAATAATCTTTAAGTTTAAACCGGTTTTATGATACGTGTAAGGGGCCTGGTTCTAGTCCGGCACAGAAACAGCCTTTTGAACGCTGACTCGAGGTATGGGCCTTCAGGGCATCCATTAGAAGCGGGAATGATACACAGAGGGAGAGATGAAGATTAACATGGCCCCTGCACTGCGGAGGATGACACACAAAAATTGGGAAATGGTCCCAAGTTTTTGGTATGATCATATACCACAACTGATGCACCCGATCCCATCTGAAACTGGAAGCTCAAGTCCCGTTGGGCTGCATGCAACACAGACAGGTATGTATTTCAACAGTTCATCGGTGTAGCAACTGAGCTCGGCCCGTCGGTTATTGGTCCAGTTTTTATGGATGGATGGATGTCCCGGAGGACGGTCGTGCCTTCTTTTCGGTTCATTAAAATTTCTCTAATGGCACTTGCGTAGATTATAACCTTACACAGGGTTGCCAGACCAAACGTACGGAGGCCCCTAAGCTGACCCCCGAACGTTCGGGCGTTCGGGTCCCCGTACGGGGCCCGAACCTGAAGGGGTTCGGACCCCGCAAAAAAATAGTTAGGCACCTAAATATTGTTATTTTTTTCTGAGTTTTTTTTTGTGAGTTCTTTGTGATGTAAGGTACCTCCCTGTAAATTTTGAAGCCATTCTGCTTAGCCAAAAAAAACATGAAAAATCGGCAAAGATGGTGGTGTCAAAACTTGCTTGCCCACTCAATAATTTGTTTGTTCTCTCTTTTCACTTTTTGTTTTTCCTTTATTTCGGGGCATGAACAAAATTATTATTTTTTCAAACTTTATTTGTAGATTCTCTATTATGTAATATACACATATATCAATTTTCATGGCATTTTTCACAGCCAAAAAAAAAATTAAAAATCGCCAAAGATGGCGGTGTCAAAAACGTGCTGGCCCACTCAATAATTTCAGTCTAGTTTTATTTTTTCTAATTGTCATTATTATTATTTATTTTTAGTATTTTATTTTTATTTAAAGTTTGGTAAAGAATTTGGATGTTACTTTGAGGCAAATGTTGTTTAGTTTATTCTTCTGCATAACATATTTTTTTTTCAGATTTTTTGGATTTTTTTTTTTTTTTTTTTTTTTTCGGGGTCCGCGTTCGGCCGAACGCCCGAACGCGTCGAGAGGGGGTGCCGAACGTTCGGGCGTTCGGGTTCGGGCGTTCGGGTTCGGGTGTTCGGGTTCGGGCGTTCGGCCCGTCCCGAACGCGGGCAACCCTGACCTTACAAAAAAAAAAAACTTACAAGGTAAACTTCAGTAAATCGTAAAGTACCCAGGCTACCAGAGTGGCCAGGCGTCCCTTGATAGACCAATGCAAAAATGAATGAAAAAATTTAAAAACATATACTTTTTTATTTTTTTATTTTTAATTTGGCAAAGAATTTCGATGTGGCACTGAGTCAAAAGTTGTTCAGTTTGTTTTTCTGCACAAGTTTTTGTTTTTCGAATTTTCTGTTTTTTTTCTTTTTTTCTTTTTTTCTAAGGGACCTTCCCTTGCCCATGCCCGATGGGGCCGTCAGGGCAACCGAGGTTTAAAGGGCCCAGTAGGTAGCCCGGTAAAGTACCATTAGAAGCGTGATTAATTGCAAGGAAAATGATCTTTTTTTTTTTTTTTTTTTTTTTTTTTTGGTCAAACCCCAGGTTGTTGTAGAGGTGGGATACTCTAGACAGATGAGAGTCACCCACAGTAATTGGCCTTTCCGCTGTCCAGATGAGCCTCCTTGACGACCTTCCCTTCCTCTCATCTTTTTGCCCTGGCGCAACCCCCATCCCCCCCTTGTCCTACCCTACCAAAGTGTTAACCACCCAGGACCATCACCCATCGCCATCTTGGCGGGCCGACCTGACTAGACAGCAGTTGCAGGCAAAATGATCTTAATATTTGGACCTGCAGTCGTTCCGAGGCACTTTTCTCCGGGGTGGGAAGCGACCTGCGTGCCAAAAAACACTTGCATAACTAACTGGCACGGGCTTCCTTTTGGCTGGCTTCGCCAGCCATTTTCCTCCGGAGGTCTAGCCCCGAACGTTGCGCCGGTCTACAAGCTCTGCTTATGTTGTTCATTGCCCGGGAAACGTACTGGTGGTTCAATATGTGTCCACATGCAGGTCCAACACACAAAGTCGTCAACTTGCGTAAGCAAACCCTCCAGTTGGCACAGGATCACGCGGAAGTCCGTCAATAATATTTTGTGTGATTATTACAAGGATGCTCGGCCACCGCCAGGAGACCACCACAATGTAAGGGATGCTGGACCAGGTTTCCAGCAGGTGCTGCTCCCCACCAATAGACGGAGCCGTCCTGGGGGTGCTAGCGGTGTCTGCTCACACCAGCACCTCTAGCACCGCCTGTTTTTTTGGTAAAAAAAAAAAAGAAAAAAAAAAGAGGATACTGGCGTCACGCGGGTCACGACCTTTGTTTGCTTTTCGAGCTCTTTTTCTGCTGGTGAGGAGTTATCGGATGTAGGAGTCCCAGGGCGAGATCCGACTAACAAACTCGAAGAGTTTTAAAGCCACCAAGCCTGTATTGATCTGAGACTGTGCAGTGAGGCCAAAAAAAAAAGAGAGCCGCCGTGGCTTCGTGGGGGTGATTTTTTGGTCGTGGAGGCGTGATTTTTTGTTTTCTTTTTGGCTGGCGGCACCGGCCAATTTTTTGGTCTAGAAGTATTATCCGTCCGAAGGCTCCACTGCTTGCAAACTCGGGGCATGCTCACACTAGGACTATTTTGCTTATGAAAATGGATGTGATTGCAGCCAGATGCATCGAGGTCTGGTCGGAATTGAAGTCTGGATGCATTTTGGGAAGTGCTAGTGTGAGTATGCCCTCAGAGTCTTGTTTTGGGGGGCGAACGCAATCGTTTACTGTGCCGGTGGCGGTTAACGACGGAAGGGGAAGTCTCTTTGGTGGCAGGTTGAGGCTCAATGTCGGGAGAATTTGTGTTTCGTTTTTGATTGCAGATGATTTGCCCTTCGGGTATACTCACAGTAGGACCCTTTCGACAAGAGATCTGGATGAGATCGCATCATCGCAGTAAGATGTATCTAGGTTTGGCCATAATTGAAGTCAGATGCATTTAATAAAGTTCTAGTGAGAGCATGGCCCAAGTACATTATGAAAGAGTGAAATCCATTGTCTTTTTTTTTTTTTTTTTTTCACCCTCTGGATTAGGAGAAACGGTCTTGTAATAATATTTGTACTTTCCCCCTTCAAGAATTGCTTGGAACGCTGGCTGCAACATCATAGGGCTTCGCTCTCACTACTGACCGCAGGCACCAGCCGCAAAAAAAAAATGATGGTGCATCTTCCCATGTTCTAGCAGAAGATTCATTCTCTTTGTGCACATTTGGTGAGCAGTGGAATGGGTCCCATGTCCTCCAAAATTGTGAACTTTGACTTCTCTTGTCGAATATCTTATCCACTACACAAATATGCACACCTCAAATTAACAGTTTTTTTTTTGTTTTTAATTAACAGTTGAACAATTAAAGAATGTGGTAAACACATGGCAAGGTGTTTGCAATGTTTACTAAATACTTTTCCCCTCTCTTTTTTTTTTTTTTTTTTTTTTTTTTTTCCATTTTAAACCACCACTACCTTTCCAAGCTGTAGTCCCATTTGGGAAAATGACCTCAACCACAAAGTTCAAGGGTACGGTGTAGGGCCGGTAGGAACACCAAAAAAAAAAAAAAAAGAGTGGGACCCCGCGGGCCCTCAGTGAGGCAAAAAAAAGAAAAGAAAAACTAGGAACGTTGAATCCAGCGACGTCGTGATAGGGGTCCTCAGGGACATGGAAGTTACAC